AAACCATCTAGGTGCTTACTGGATGGTATTATCTTATTATTATAGACTGCCCAGACTCTACTAGTGGAGCGTGGGAGCCCTTACCACCCCAGTTTCCAATTGCTGGGGTGGCAGACAGAGGCTTTTCCTCCATAGTGTTTGAGTATGTTCCTTCACTCTTGGAGAAGAAGGTGAAGTTGGGGGCTCTCCTACTCAGGTCCTTGGATGTTTTTCCCAGATTTTAGTAGGAGTGGTACGTACCAGCCTCCATGGGAACCTACTCATAATTCCGGTTCAGATTTGACATGAAGCTCTCCGGTTTGGGGGGGGGGTGCGTGGCCCTTCTCTTGGATCAATGTCGGTTTTGTATATTGTCTATGGAAGGAAGTCCACTATATCCTCATAATCCAAACGAGATGTGATCCCATCCTAGGTCCTTGGTTGAACACAGGTTCCGTGTCTTCTCCATAATTCCTAGGGCATGCAGAATATTCCTTGCCCACTAGATTAGGGAGTGAGAAGGAATGTTCATAATTTCAGACTGGATGAGTTCTGTTCCTTTGGTTGAGTATGGCATACATGATCCCATCATTCTGAGCCTGGTGTGTTGCTTTTTTGACTTCTTCAGATGAAGGAGAAAGTTTATCCACTTCGGTGTTGCTTACTTTCTCATCGTGATTCCAATGGTTGCAAAACCCATCACTCTATTGCTACAGGTTGGGATCCAATCAAAAACATATATAATATTGCAGTCCAATAGCCCCAGCCACCAACATGGGAAATAGGTACCATGACCCCCTAATTCCAACCCCGAGTTGTGGAACCTTGGCTGTCTGGTTGGGGCTGACCTATACTGACAATTACTTGTACTCTGTTCCACCTTTGATATAGAAATGGAGTTCTGGTGAAGAGCATACCTGTTCTGGATGTAGTGCTGTTCCCCCATTCTTGTACCATCTTTATCTTGGTACACTTCTGTTCTATACAGATGCTTTCTGGATCATTCATACCTGCACTGGCCCCTCCACCTTCTTAATGTGGGATTCTAGTTATAGTGTCAGGGTAGGTAAGTATGTTTTGGAAGATAACATTTTCCTAAACTGAAAATGTTTTTCCAATAGTACTTACCTCCACTGACGCTCTTATGCCCTACCTCACCACTAAAAGCCAGTTTATTTCTTCAAAAAGTTATTACATTATCTGAATGAGGTGCTTATATACAGTACCTAGGTAGATGGTGCATTGAAATTGGTGGAGAATTTGCCAAGGACATTTGAGTGGTGTATAAAAGACTGGAAGTATCATTTTCAGTGCTCAGATGGGCAAAGAGTGAAAACCCTAGAGATATCGAGAAATAGCTATGGTGTCAGCAGAAGTAAGTATTATTGGAAATACATTTTCAGTTTATGAAAATGTTAACATACCTTACAAAATGCTCAAAATATTATATTATTAAATGAATTTTAGTCATAGTAAAGAACCATCTGAAGTTTAGTGTGCTATTGTTTTAATTTCGATAGAGATGTTTTTAATTGTGCCAATGTTATTAGTGTGTTAAAAATATAATCAAAATGTAACAGATGATCTCGTGTCTTTACAGTTACAAGAAAGGAAGCCCTTCGGAATACGAGATATGTCTGTTCCTAATGTGTTTGAAATGGGAAAGGTACAGTGTAGTATTTGTTACAGTAAGAAGTTGTTTGCTTACTTTTAGATCTGTCTGATAGTAACTTTAATTTTAGATACATATGTTCACAGTTTCTGTGCAAAACTTCTGGAAAAGAGCAATTTATTTGCATTTAGTGTCATTGTGTGATTTTCTAAATGTCCACTTTAGTGTTATAAGCTTTCAAAGTTGTGAACATTGTATTTCTGTAAATTTTGATTTTCAATCACTTAAGTGTTGTTATTACAGTGTAAAACAGCTTTACAAATACTCATCACCTTGTTATTTTTCAAGCAAGCTTTTGGTTATCTTATCTTTAATGGTATCCATGTTAGCAAGAGTTGATCAAATAATTCAAACTACGTATGGAAAAAGATAGCAAAAAGTTAGAAAATAAAGAAGGTGCCAACTTGCATTTATAGAAAACTGTCAAATCAATATCATTATTTTGTTATTGACTTAGGAGTTATTTTTCACATTGGTTTTTAGCTTTAAACTTAAAACTGCACAAATAATGTTTTAAGTTGACATTCATGTCAGATATAAAAATTTTAGTAATGGAATAAAGTTATTCATAATACTTGTTGATTGCTTGTGAATGTTATATAGTTAGGTTATCTAGTCACATATTAAAAAAAATGTCTGTGTTTGTTTAAATACTTATGTTTTAAAGTCATATCTTAGTTCTAATCATGTAATTTCAAATGTGGTTCTCTTGTCATTCAGAATATTTTTTCAAAGATTGAGCTTAATTAACAACAAATTATGAAATTACTTCAAGCAAAAACACATTATATAAAGTGCCTAACATTTTTCAAATTATGATATGTAAGAAATGTATGTAAAGAACAGACTTCTCTTTTTCTAGCTAGTTGATGTTAAGGTAAAGGCTAAAACGGAGAAGGGTTTGGATGTTCAGATTGTTTCCACCACAAAGAGAGCCTTTCTGCCAGTCTATCATTTGTCTGACCACCCCAAGCTTTGTCAACTTCTTCTGGAATGTTACAAAGTTGGAGAAAAGATAACAGATGTACTTTGTTTTGGAAGAAAAGGATTGGCTGTATCCTTTATTACTCATTAGTTAAAACTATTTGTGGTTATGTTAGTATACTCTTTATTTATTGTCATGTAAATGTAGCCTAGAATTAGTATTATATGAATTATATGATAAAATGACAGGTTTATAACATATTGCCACAGCTGGCATTGCATGAATCATTAGTTGGCAAAATATTTGATATTACTTCATGATAAGGTTAATAACTATTCTGTTCACATCTCTTCTAGCATCTGTATAGAGTAGACAAAATGTAGTTGAAATTATTTTATTAATATTGGAAACTTATGTGGTAAAGACAGATGTGATTAGAATTATCATCATTCTTTTTGTTTAGTAATGTTTATTACTAACTGAAGCTGTATAACACAATAAGCCAGTATGCTCACCCATTAATAACTAAAGCTTTATAACACAATAAACCAGGTTTTTCTCCCATTATGAAGAAAAAGATCTTGCTCAAAACAGATTTCTATTAACTCTCTCAACACGGGCTCGGTCAATTTGACCAACCATATGACCTCTTTGTACTTGTTTAAAGTCTTTATA